TTTATCATGAACTGGTTCTGTCATTTATTGGTAATGGTGCTTTTTTGCTGATAAGCTGTACAGATGAAATTGAATATGCACACGAATATGGATACTGATAATGAAGCAAATCTTCGTGTAGGTTTGACAGCGTCTTTGAACTAAAGCCCTGAAAATCACAAAGATGTGATTATCTTTATTTAAAGAGCACAATTATTGACAACAACAATTGGTTTAAACGTCTTACCGATGCTGGAAGGCGATAAGAGGAGCATCATCTGTACAGTTGGTATATAAATTTTTACAATATTAAAACATAGATTTGTCTATGTTCCTTGAGCAACTATGTACTTATATGTTAAAGTCGTACACCGTTGCTCAAGGAACATTGTTAGTATCGTCAACTGCCGCTATTTGTTAACACGAGAGAAATTTGACCAACGTCTATCAAAATCACAATCCAAAAAGAAGTCCATAAGCTACCAAAAGCTCAAAAGGCCTCTTTAAAAATATAAAACAGTGATAAATGAATTCATACAATCGTTCATAATGCTAAAAGTTATTTTTTACATGAATACCTATCAGTTATAAATGGTGACATTATAAAATATTCATTAAGGTCGAGACCAAGATAAGTGTATCTGAAATCTGTAAGTTGGTAACCTTATGATTGATCTGTCAGGCTAATGACTTCTATAAAAAGTATTTTCAACAACTCCATCATTTCTAGAAATCTTTAAAGTTGACCCGATTTAAACCTTTAAGATCTTTCCGCGATTTTCTATCATTTTTTTTCTAAAGTATTTGATAAATTGTTTTGGAATGTATTTTGTATTGAATAGTTGATGATAGTTCATAGCCAGTATTGATTTTATTCAGCTTCCTGAATGCCTCACTCATTTCTACTTCTAAAGCTTCAATTTAGCTCCAATTTTAACGAATTCTATATTACTGGTCTAAGAGACTATCTAGGGACTTTGTGAACTTGGCTACAGAATCCACCTCTTTTCTACTTTAATCTCTCAAGACCTAGTAGTTTACATAAATTATCCTTTTCTTCCTGATATTGTATTCATTGTCAATACCTGAAAGGAATAATATTGTGATCAATACGAGTCTATTTCATCTTCTTTGCCAACATTTTATTAAATCCCATTAGCTGCAGAATACTGCATCATAAAAACTCGCTTTTCGGCCATCCATTAGCTACCTTTTAGGGATTGGACACAAAGTTTTGTGCTTCGTTGAAATATTACTATGTGAGAACCTATTTCAACCAAAGTCTTGTTTTAGTAAACAATAGTTGGGTTGTTAATATCATCACATCAAGGTGGTAAAATTTGCTTTGAACATTAGGAATCATTCATATACTAACAACGAAGCTAATCAAAACTTTCAAATATCAAAAATGAGTCTCACCAATTGTCAACTTATATTTACGAGGTTAATATTACATACAAAACTTCATAATCACGTGAAATATGGTAGGAATATCGGTTGCTTCCAAGGTTAAGTGGAATTATTGCCAAGTTACATATTAGTTTAACACTGAGTTATTATTAATAACTAATCGTAGATTTTTTTTAAGCACACGTCGGAGTTCATTCCGATCATTCGTTATCAAATTACCAACAAATCTTGTAGTTATGTAACTGAGTTCAACCTCTAGAACCATGAACTCGTGAAATGACTGGCGTAGTTCGAATTCATTGACGTACATGGTGGTTGAAGGATGGTTTCCAGTGATGGTGATGATGAGAATCATGCAATGCTTCTATAAGAGAGAATTTATTAATTATCTTTCTAACACAATGGTCCTGATTTATAGATTTACTTTGTACAATGAAACAGTTAATGAAATTCTTCAGTCATCGAGTACTACCGATGTCTTCAACTTTGCCATTCTCAAGGTTAGCATCTGTAATAAAACACTGCTTGAATGAGGAATTTATCTTTGGTATTTGTTATGAATTAAGGATGTAGGATATCTGCTATCCATCAATGGAAAAGTACATAAATTTAATCATACATGTAGCTTAACCTATCAAAGCAAAACAGATATTGTTTATATAAATTCAATGCTCATAACAAATTCAAAATCTGTTTATTGTTCGACAGTCAATAAATTTGTTTCCAGATTGCCCCAACGACATATAAGGTTTAGTGGTGTCACCTAACCAAAATGGTATAATACGGTGAAACGCTTCCAAGCCGAATCTTTTGCAAGCCGATATCCCCTCTTACCTGAAATTAGGATTTGTGATATCACATAACCAGATCATCTGATAACTGGCATTTCATTTTAACCGATAATAGGGTTGGTGATGTCACATATCGTCCGTGGTATGGTATGCCCGCTTCAGAATTCCCCGATTCTAATAAACCAGTGAAACCGCTAGTTTTCCTACCAGCGAAGTGTGATTTGAGCCTTAAAGAATACCACAGTCTAATCAATCATATTATCAAGATAGATCTGTTCTGGTCCAGCCATATGCATGGATTAATCATTGATATTTAATCAACTTGTCATCTTTAAGATGCATTCATATCTATTATCGCTGTGAAGCTGTTGGTTGCAGTATCAATTGGACGCATAACATATTGTCCTTATCTAGACTAGTTTCGAAATTTGAGCCCTTAGTGATTTGCAAAAAAGGGCACATTAAAAATCTGTTAATTTTAAGAGACGCAACACGGTGGCAAAACGAAAGGAAACTAATTAGATGTATCGACTTGCCTAAAAGATGACTTAACATGCATGAACTTATTTTACCGTTAAAAATATTTATTTAGTGCAGTTTATAACTCTTTGAAGTAAAATAGTTGTTTATATAGTGTAAAATATTTCAATAATCTTAACCATTATTATATTTATTGCTTGAGCAGCGATTGGTTTTTATGGTTTGTTTGAACTGAGTAAGACTGGCTGTGAATATGACATGTTTTATTAAATGTGTACACATTATTAATAATCGCTTGTTGCCTCCTCACTTCTAGAAATTTATGTCGAAAATAGGAAGCCATCAAGATTAGAGACGAGAAATGACAAGCCCAACCGGAGAGTGCCATCAGGTATTGGGATATGCTACGTAAATGAAGGTTTTAGTCTTGAGTTGCACAGATCTAGTATGGTCTTTTGAGACAATAGTCTAACAACGACCGGCAGTCAATGTCTTCTTGGTGTGAAGATTGCAGCATGCACCTAAATGACGTAGATGTATTTAACGATGTTGATTGGAGCTCATATAACGAGTCTTAGATTCAATGGTGGGTTCAATGTTAAATACCAACAAGAACACTAAGACTTTTGTCTTCATATTAAGACGTTTTTTGATGACAAATGTACCTTGCCGAAGGATCAGTTTGCTTCAAATTACACCAGCTCAGTAAAAATTATATTAATCCTTTCCTTGATATATAGGCATTTGCCATATTTTGTGATTTGCCCTATCGGTTATTTTGAATGCACCTAACGATGGTATTCTATAAGTAGATTAGTAGACTAGTTTTTTCTGCTTGATTAAATCTAGGTCATCTGGTCAGTGTATACCAAGTTTTATTTCATATTTGTCTGAGAAGTAGTAGATTATTCTAAAGATATAAACCAAGTCCTAGAAAGTTTTATTAAGGAGAGAATTATTAAGATAACGTGTAATAACTAGTTTAACACTGAGAATAAACTTGAAGTGGAAATCAATACCAAGTGGTGAAAATCGGTACAATTGTATCTTTTAATGACGCTTTCAACAACCATTAAATACAAACATATGAATTAAATCGAGTACGGAGGAGAAGAATTTTACAAATTTCGGTATAAAAAGTTCGGCAATAATTGGTTGTGAAAATAAGTTTGATTCTTCTCATCAGCACTGAAGACTTGTCATTTTTCAAGTGTGACATCTGTCAATATGAGAAATCTTTTAATTTTCTGCAAGTTATTTATTATTTTATTTTATGGTCAGTTTTTATATCGATTTGATTATAGTTTTTCCTGCTATCAAATACATCATAAGTTAATGGATGGTTGCAAGATTTACTGTAAAATGTTAACTGTAATTACTAGCTATCCACTACCAGTTCCCTGATCGATTTCAAATGCTAGCAACAACCAATTGTTATTGCTAGAGCACATAACCCGTATTTGCATTTCTCCATCGTCAAAATTTAAATTTATTATTTTTATCGACTGCCAAACATTTGATTATGTAGATATTGTTATGGTTTCCAGTAAATTCGTGGCATTTCCCAATAGATTATGGCCTGGAATTACATCTGGTATGCAAGGACAAGTTAGTGACATGTTGCGTTTTCTTGGTGAGATTCCTTAATGTCTTAGAATTCCATGCAAAAACTTGAAATTTCTTTTGTTTTCCATTTGTTATTCCACATAAAAGATTATCAGTGATAATAATTAACCAACTACTTCCTGGTGCAGAAATAGACCACATTTTGCCAAGACACTCATTGACAAGTACCAAGGAAGTTATTCTATTTGGGTTGCATGCAAGATGCATAAAAAAACCCACAAAACGTCGAAAATGTCAGTATCTGTTAATATAGGCAAAGCTATTATGAAACTACATTTCTTCATAATTACCGCTCTGTGTCATGTCACCAATTTTACACAATTTCTCTAACAAGTTAATGAAACACAATGATTTATCTGTCTGAGCTATTCACCTTCTGTTTTTTCTTCTTATTATTCACACAATGGAACTTATGGAAATGTTGTTCAGACAGACGAATTAGATTCTCTTAAATAAAAATTTGTCAACAATGGTTTAATAATCATGAAAAAATGATTACCTCTTGTAATGTCAAGGTTTCATATATTACTTCAAATATTTACCCCTTTCTCTCCATTCATTACTCCGAGATTCCATCAATTACTCCCAGATTCCATCTATTACTCCGAGATTCCATCCATTACTCTCAGATTCCACCATTACTCTCAGATTTGACTCATTACTCTCAGATTCCATCCCTTACCTTACTCTCAGATTCCATCCCTTACTGTCTGATTCCATCCATTACTCTCAGATTCCATCCATTACTCTCAAGATTCCATTCATTACTCCCAAGATTCCATCCATTACTCTCAGATTTTATCTCTTACCCTCAGATTTCATCCATTACTCTCAGATTCCATTCATTACTCCCAAGATTCCATCCATTACTCTCAGATTTCATCTCTTACCCTCAGATTCCATCCATTACTCTCAGATTCCATCCATTACTCTCAGATTCCATCCGTTACTCTCAGATTCAATCCATTACTCAGTTTCAATCCATTACTGAGATTCAATCCATTACTCAGATTCAATCCATTACTCTCAGATTCAATCCATTACTCTCAGATTCCATCCGTTACTCTCAGGTTTAATCCTTTACTCCCAGATTCCATCCATTACTCCCAGATTCCACCCGTTTCTCTCAGATTTAAATCATTACTCCCAGATTCAATCCATTACTCTCAGATTCCACTCATAACTCTCAGATTCCACCCGTTTCTTCCAGATGTTATCCATTACTCCCAGATTCATCGTACTTTTTCGTGTCGTACCTTGTTGTATTCTATCTGGCCTTAATATTTATCAATATATTAATTATTCGCGTACAACTATAACTTTCTTATGACTATACGTTTCGTATCAGTGACAGACCAAAACAAATCAGGGGTAACGTGAACACGACAGACAGCTAAAGAAACATACAACAAAATGACTTGAGTGTGGTATATGCATTGCAGCAAGTTTATATCTTTTGTTACGAATTGTTTCGTATGTCAGACAATTTATTTGATACTGACGAAGTATAAGTATTGTATTACAAACATTATTTCAATGACTTACATTACTTATGCTAAAAATTACGTTTCTTCTCTTGGGTCATGTGTGGCAAAAATCTGAAATAATCTTCAACATCGATTACATTCCCCTTACAATATTTTCATTGTTTTTACCAGATCGGTTACAATTTTATAGCGTAAACTAAAAGCTAACGATTTACATTTTGGTACATTTTTGTAACATTCTGGCCATCATTTTATAGATTTTTATTTCGCACTTCAGTTTGTAACTTCGTAATTGTTTGATTTTCTATGTTTTGACAATTACCGTTGCACCATTTTTTTTGCGTGGAAATGCCAAGAATGGTGAAATCGATATATTAAATTACTTGTGGCTATTATTTGTGCTTCCCTTGAGATTTTACTCCAATAATTTTCAAATTACGTTCCGATATTTTTCTGAAATGGTTTGATTGCATTTTTGTTGATAACCAACATGTTCTATCCGAAGTCGATTTTGTTAAAAAGTTGTGAATCGATCTGACAAATAGCGCTTATTCTTTTCAGTTAAAACATTATAATGTGAGTAATTTAGGACAGTGGTTATGGATGATGATTTATGACAATGTTCAACACAAAAAATATCAAATGACTAAATAATATGTTAGCTGAAAACATGTTTATGGTCGTTCAATGAAATTAGATGTATTGGAGATTTATTTTATGCTCTAGATTTGGCGAACTATAAAGACGGACAATAATATACAGCGTGCAATGAGGGAAATTTTGCTGTGACAACATCATTAACTTTATCTATATTCCCTACTGTCAACGAGTCTTTAACGAGTGAAATCTGTAGCTTCGGTTTAATTTTTACAACTTTTTTCCGACCCTCCTTATTCATTGACAGATGCAAATTTGCTTGTAAAGTCTTAATTTATCTCCTCGGACCCTTAAGTTTGACCACTAAATTTGCAAAAAAGCCTCCAACTTGGGAGAGTGTTGAAATGAAATGAATGGAGTTTTACGTCCTACTTTTCTGCACCATGTGGGCTAATAAAGACGGGCAACGTCATGCAGGGTGCAATGAGTAAAATTTTGCCAGGTCAGCGGCATTAGCCTGCTCTTTTTCGATTTCCAACAATCGAGGGATCTGTAACGTGCACAGCCTGTATCACACGGGACCTCGGTTTATTGTCCCATCCAAATGACTAGACGCTTTTTCCATGCCAGCCCCTCTCATTGTTAAGCGGAAACAGAGTTGAAAAATCCGAAGGTATTATCTCGACCGGGGAGAGTGTTGAAGGCACATAATTTAAACCATTAGCAGCGGTAAGGCACTTAAATATTTCTACTATCTGAGATATTTTGACATCTTAAGACCTCTAATAATATTATTAACGGAAACATTTCGTTGAACTATCACACCAAGTATCTGAATAAAGCTAATCAAACGAATTGATTGAACTGAGATCTATCTATATACGTCTTGTACAAGATGATGAATTAAAGGGTATAGGTACGTGAGGGGGTCTCGCGAGAGTGGTTAAATGTGAAAAGTAAAGATTTTAGGTAGTGAATTATAGATGAAGTAGTAATGGGTTACGATTCAATTCTATAGAATAATATACTCCACAGTGCAAGAAACTATTAAACTCTATTAAACCCTGTCCAATTCTATTGATATAATGTGACATAAAGTATTGACAGCAATGTGTTTATTACTGTATTAATTATTCAGTGGCTTCGTCAACAATCAACTAAAGCAATTCGACATTGTTTTCTGTTAGCATTAGGATTGGAAAAGAAAATTTGCGTTGAATCAAATATTCACGTACTCGCGTTCTTAAAATTTCCTGGTGGTGTGACTTATTACCGTAAACAATCGATTGTGAATTAACAACAAAAAAAAGAGTGAAAATTCACAAGACATTTCCTATCATAATCTCTTCTGATGAAATCGGAACTAAGATTTTATATATTATGAATAGGATAGAAGTTAGAGACTACTGAAATAAATTAACCATTAACATGAAGCATTCAGCTCCAGTTAATACTTCCTTCGAGGCTTATCATATATTTTTAAATAATTTTAAATCGATTCTGGTAGTGTGGGTGATGGTAATATTCCGTCGCGCACTATGGAACTTGTTTGCGTTGTGCTTAACAAAAGAATAACCCTACTCCATTGGGATTGACGTGCAAAGAAACAAAAAACAAGAAAAAAATCAGCACTTTTTCGAGATCATAGTCGAAAAGGAACTCGTCCAGGTTTAACACGCGTTTAACATATTAAGTCGAAGCGAGAATTTGGAATGTTAAAACTTTTCTAAATTTTTATGTGCATCGGGGACACTGATGGCATCGATTTACACCATTCCAATTTACAGTCAGATATCTGTGGTTCCTGCAATTCCACAAAATAATACGCCATTTAATAAGGCCATTTTTAAAACGTTTTAGTGGAATTGTAGGAACTACAGATGTCTGACTGAAAATTGAAATGGTGCAAATTGATAATGTCAGTGTCTCCGATACACATAACTTTTTAGATAATTTCTTCACAATCCTTTAACTTGGATTCCGAATGCCAGGAAAAGTCTAATTCTTGAATAGGCTGAGACATTTCCTGATAAAATGAACGTAGAAAGTGGTTAATCCGAGTATGCAACTGGAGATAAAACTGATTGTATCATATATAAAGCAGAATTCTCTAGTGAGTTATAAAGAAATGTATCAGTAATGCAATTAAATTATATAAAAACACTGCCACAAATTGGGAATAATAATAAATTTAGTTTAGTGTCAACTGGAGAAAAAAAAATATAAAAAGTATTCGTTCCACCTTAAAAAAATAATTATGTTATATGTTTAATTGTCTATTTGACACTGTCACTTTCTCATTCCGAATATATTGACCGTAGCGCAATCCATGTTAAAATGATTCAAAGGAGGTCTGAGTGGATTTAAAATACATAGAAGAGACTTCTAAAGTTTTGTCGTCGTTCTATAAGTGAGGCATTTGCCTCAATTGCTTCCATTACGCTACGGCCTTGAACACCTGAAATCCTGGAATATAGAGGAGACGGTAACTTTGATTCAGTCCTTTCGTCTTGCTTTAGCTTGTCATTAACAGAAGACTCAAGCCAATCTGTTCTTAAAGATGATAAATAGAGGTAAATATAGATAATTTGTGACAAGAGTCAATAGGCATGAAAATAACAATCATGTTATATAGATATTCATATTGTTGTTATAAATTGGTTGAATTCCCCATAGTGCTAATGTTATTCTACCAATGTTTATTAACCTGTAATGCAGGTTCGCGACCTTCAACATCTCTACCGAGTATTATGTTTACAAATCATACCAACCTTCATCAAATTATAGATAGTACTTGATGGTTTCGTTTCATTGACCTTCTGGAGAACAATTGGATTCATCACAACTGTCTTTGACACCCCGATTACTAAGATTGTAAGGACAACCAATGTGCTTCAGTGCTTCATTAGAATAGTTGCTATCAGATACACTAACAGGAATATTGATAGACGTTAATTCATATTAATTGACATTCCATTCACTTCGTCTTTTTCGTCCTTCCGTTATATTATTGCCCAGCTGGAATGTGATAATATACTCGTAACATCATAGAATTTATCATTTCACAATCAAACTAACATTGACTTTCCAATGGTATTGCCACACGTGTTATTAGTGGCAATAGTATTTATTGCTTACTTCGACAATCAAACTGAACACGATAGAATCAAACTTTCCTCGACTGGAAAAAGAAGGCAATGACCCAGTTTTAAATTATAACTTCTAAAGACTTCGTTATTTGTATGATAATCCTACACGCCATCTCTGGTGAAAGTGAATAGATTTGTATCAAATAGTTTTTCAGTTTTTAATAGGTCAGAGGTATATTATTTCCCTCTAAGGATCTAATCAGAAGAATTTTACTCTCTGTTGTATCTTATATGTTGGCTTTTATTGGTTTTATGAACGGTCTATATCGGTTTCATAGTTTAGTTAGGTCTTTCGTGTAGGTTGTAATTATCTTTGGAGTTTCTAGTTCAATATCAGTTGATATGTTTTACTGCTTACCAAAGTCACTGTCAAGATTTAAATATAATGGAGCTCTACGTCACACCTTTCTGTAGGTTTACAAGGACAACGTCATTAGCCTACTCTCTTTCTCTAAGGTGATCAAACTGTAGGAGCAAGCGTCTAACTCAAAGAGCCACCGCTACGCCCTCACAGAATTTAAGATGCCTCCATCTTCATTAGAAGGAGTTCCACGACAAAAACACGCAGTATTGTCTTTGGAATACATTAAATTCTATTTTAGATAAGAGCTAATTATCGTTAAAGGGTTCATTATATATACAACATTGAGTTTACTATCTCTACAAATCATGGTGGATTCTAGATGGTTGATTCTCTAGTAAATAGAGCCATAAAACGTGATGGAATGCAAATAATTAAAACGATTTTCCAAGATATACATCTTATTTATAGAGACACTACAGTGTGTCATGTTGGTTACGATAGTCTGCAATTTACGATCGTTTTACATGCAAACTATCAATTATGTTGAATTCCACAAACGTTTCTAAGCTGTATAAAAAGCTTTAATTTCTCAGGTTTTTGTAAGGAATCGGCATTAAGTTGTATAGCTTTAAGAATTTCTAACTAGAAACTAGACATTGTATATCAGGTACTAAAGTGCGTATATTCATATTTCTACAATGTGGCTGATGGCGATATGCTAATTTCTTTTATACATTTATATGG